TTCTCCTGGTGAAATTCACATTTGGACAACTTGGCATAAAGCTCCGCGGCCCGGAGTTTCTTTAGTACTGTGTGGACCAACTTGACGTGTTCGTCATGTGTTTTGCGTGTAAATAAGGATATCATCCAAATATACGATAACGCCCTTGTAGAGGTGGTCATGCAAAACCTCATTAATTAACTGCATGAAAACTGCAGGCACCCCCTGCAGGCCAAAGGGCATCACACGGAACTGGAAACAACCCAGGGGGCAGTTGAAAGCAGTTTTCCACTCGTCCCCCTCCTTGATTCGGACCCTATAGTATGCCTCCCTTAAGTCCAGTTTTGTAAAATTGCGGCCCTTCCCCAGTTGGGCCAGCATGTCCTTCATCAGAGGCAAGGGGTAGAGATTTTGGGATGAGATCGAATTAAGATTTTTAAAATTAACACAGAGACGAAGAGAGCCACCTTTCTTTTCTCTGAATAGTACAGGGGCAGCCACCTTGAGTCTGGCTGGTTCAATGAAACCCCTCTGCAAGTTCTTGTCAATAAACTTCCTCATCTTTTCCATCTCCTTGGGTGACATAGAATATATTTGGGGTTTTGGAAGTGCTATCCCAGGCAAAATCTCGATGGTGCAATCAGTTGGCCTGTGGGGTGGAAGCTTATCAGAAGATTTTTCACTAAAAACTACTCTCAGGTCCCAATATTCTTTTGGAATCTTCTCCTCCCCTTCAATTCTCTCCTGGCCCATGGCGGCCAAAGTGGGGTTGGAGCCAGCAGGCTCTGAGGCTCCTACCTCCCCGTCTGGGGCTGCGCTGGTTCGAATGTGCAGCCACCCCTCCCTCCAGTTAATGCAAGGGTTCCATTTACGAAGCCAGGGGTCTGTCCATCCCAGGTGCCACAATCAAAGAGATTAACTCTAGATGGATTCCCATCTTGATTAGGAAAATACAGAAAGAAGCTGAATCTTAGTAAATTTGAGTTGCTGTGGAAATAATTGTTTCTGATGGAAAGTACTACCTGTCGGAGCAGATTCATGAACTGGGAAAACTCTGGACTTATGGTTTCTATGGACTAAGGGGGGGGGGAATCCTAAAACGAAAGATGGATGTGAAAATAGAGCAAACTCTTTTTGCTAAATTGAACTTTATCTGGTTTAAAGATAGAATTGTAAGAGGTATTAATAATAGTTCTCTGTATATTTTTCAGTAAATATTCCACTTTCATACATTTTAAAAAATGGTAGTAGAAGTTCACAAAATAGATGAAACAATGCAACTTATTGTTACAATCAGAGCAGCATGACTAACATAGCAATGATAAATGTATTAGAAAAGTATATAAAGTTTGGATAATGAATAGACCAATGATGGCTAACCTTTTTAGCACCAAGTGCTGAAACAGGAGTATACACAAACATTTTTGGCACTGAGTGCCAAAATGGGCAAGTGCATGAGCGCCAAAAACCAGATGATCTGGTTTTTGGCACGTGCATGGGTACTGGCCACCTGGTCTGCCAGTTTCTGGCATGCATGCATGTACAAAGAGCAGGTGTCTGGTGCGCTCACACTGGCTCCTCCCCTATCTTTCAGAGGTCCTCGTGCCTCCCTGCCCATCCCCATAGTACCCATTGGGTGGGTGGGACATCACCACTGATGACCCAGTTCTTCAGCTTTGGACAGGGAGAGAAAGTTGGGTGGTGAATGCCTCCTTTCTCCACTGGAAAGCCGGAACCCCATCCCAGTCTTGGAACAAGGCAGCAAAGTTTCCCCCTCTCCCACCACTTCTAAGGGAGTGAAACCACTTCCTGGCTGGCATGCCTCTTACTGCTTACTGTGACTGCTTCCTGGCCAGCACACCTCCATGCGTGAAGAGCTGTGAACTTGTCCAGTCCTCCTGGGTCAGTTTGCCTCCCTGCCACTTCAAGCACTGAACATGATTTATAGTATAAAAAGCCTTTAGACCAATTACTCCCTTAGCCTGATCTTCCTCACAGGGTTGTTGATGTGGGAAAAATAGCAGAAGGAGTATTAGGAGCATTGTCAGCTTAAAGTTTTGAATATTTATTATTTAAAATATAATAAATACAGAGCAACAATCTATAACTATAATAAAAAGGTCCCTAAGAGTCACTACAGTGACATCTCTAGTGGTTTTCTTACCCTTGTGTCCTGATGTCCAACTAATCATTTATAGATAACAAGTCTGCTTGCAAGAATCGTTGTTAGCCCACATCTAAGGCAGTCTGAAGATGACTTAAGTGTTCTACTGTGGTTTGTGCAGCAGAAATAATTACATAAATAAAGATATAGTATGTTTTCCTTTGAGTATGATTTGACTCCTGGCATTTACTGTACATGGACAAGACCATACAGGTTTCTGGGCAACATTTTTAGAAGTGTTTTACCATTTCCTGTTTCTAATGCTGGAGGCAGTGATTGACCTCCAGCACTCTTGAACCATTATGCCAGGCTGGCTCTCACATATATAATAATATATAAATTAAGTGGCTATATTTTAAGAAATTCAATAGTTCAGTATAAAGTAAGTGGGTGCTCTAGACTGAGTTCTATACATAATGCATAGTACAATTTTTGCAATGAAGCATTGTTTTAGCATGGTGGAAATCTCTCTCTCTCTCTCTCTCTCTCTCTCTCNAGGGAGCAGGGACCAAAAATAAAACAAAATAAAACCCCACCAACAACTCACTTTCCCAACGCAACTCCCATTCTTCAAACCATTTATAAAAAACAGCCAAGTAAGCAGCTCTTACATGGCAGTTGGCCATTATTATTATTATCCTCTTGTCTAAAAGTGAACTTTCTATCTACCACCTGGCCAAAAAGTCTTTCCAGATCTTATCATTTTTTTAAAAAAATAAAAATAAAATAACACTCTATAATTAAACTATGACTTCCGCCCCCCCCCCAATGGGAATTATTCCAATCAAATAGCCACCTTCTCTACCGAACAGGACTTCTATAAAACCCTTTTATTCATTTATTTTTTAATTAAATCCTCATTAAGAGAATTAATCCTTCGGGTGATTAGCGCTCCTACGCAACTTCGCTAAGAAAAAAAAAAAAAAGCTCATGCCCGTGACGTCATCCCGACTTTATGACGCCGTTTGAAGTCAACCATTCTCTCCTTTTCCCTTCTCCTGAGCGATCGCCCGCATCCGCCTCTCTCCGAACGTCATTGGCTGCCCTGAGAGTATCCACCCGCTCCTATTGGCCCTCTCGCCCACCAATCACCGAGGAGAGTCGACGCTCCTCCTTTCAGGGCCTGGGCCCTTTGCCGTCAAGCCCTGTTTTGGTGTGGCCGCGGTAGGGCCCAACACCGGGGAGGAGGGGGGGGGGAAACACTTCCACTTGTCCGCCTCACTTTTCCCGACTACTTCGGAGAAAGGGAAAGAGTAATCACAGGCTTCGCCATTTTTTTTTTTTACGGAAAAAAGGAAGGGGGGAACCGGACTCGAACCCACCTGGACTGTCCCGGCCCCGCGAGGCCTCGTCCCCTGAGGGGGCGGGGGCGGGGACGTCGTCGCGACTATCGTGCTCTCTCTCGGTTTTGGCGGGAATCGCGCAGAGGCAGGGAGGGTGGGCGGTTGTTGTTGTTGTTGCCGGGCTTCCTGGTCGCCACGACTACGGTGGCTATGGCGCCCTCCGTGTTCCCTCACCGGGGCAACTGTTGCTACCCACTTCGGTGCGGGGAGGGGGGGAAGTGGGTGGTGCCTGAAGTCGATTGGACGGCGGGTAGGATTTTATTGGCTGTTCGGCTGTCAATCATGTCCTTGGCGTTTCCTCCTCTTCTGTTGATTCTAAGCCTCGCCTCCTTCCGGAAACTTTATCCTTCTATTGGCAAAGCTGATAATCCCAACTACGGATTTGATTAGGAGCCTGTCATTCTAGCAAGAGAGGTGTTTTCTGAAGACATCACGAGCGAATTGGGAGCTGTGGCACTTTCCTACTGGCTCGGTAGCTTTCAATATGCTGGGGAGGGCGTTCTAAAACGCCGTTAAACTCAGAACTGCGCATGCGTGATTCCTTGGCTTCTGGGAAATGCAGTTTAGATGCAGCCGAAGGCCTCTTCTGACTGTTTTGAAAGCAAGCGAACGAAGTGTAACGGTCGTAATTAATTGCACTAATTAATGTATCCCTTGAATCGTTACATTGGGCATGATCTGTGGATAAGCACCAAGCGCTGTTCTGTTTCTAGGCTGGGCGACCAAACTCCTATGCCAGTGTTTCTCAACCTTGGCAACTTGAAGATGTCCGGACTTCAACTCCCAGAATCCCCCAGCCAGCATTCGCTGGCGCGGGGATTCTGGGGGTTGAAGTCCGGACATCTTCAAGTTGCCAAGGTTGAGAAACACTGGCATAGGAGTTTGGTCGCCCAGCCTAGAAACAGAACAGCGCTTGGTGCTTATCCACAGATCATGCCCAATGTAACGATTCAAGGGATACATTAATTAGTGCAATTAATTACGACCGTTACACTTCGTTCGCTTGCTTTCAAAACAGTCAGAAGAGGCCTTCGGCTGCATCTAAACTG